AAAGACAAGATCAGCAAAGAACAACAACATGATGTAGTTTATCAAATCAATTTCTATGGAAAAGCTGGCGAGCCTTGCAATAAATTATACATAGGCATAACAAAGCGCGCCCTTGGAGTCAGAATAGGCGAACAAAAGCAGACGTAAGAAACAAAAAATCAACTACAGCGCTAGCCCAACACTTGAAAAACAGCGGACATTCGGCTGATTTCAACAACACCAAAATATTAGACAGAGAAACGAGTGCGAACGAGACTAACATTAGAAGGCCTGCACATACAAGAGCAAGTACAAGACGCAATGAATTTCAAAGAAGATGTCGATAGTATATATTGCCCATACAGGACGGCAATAAGGTGCAATAGAAAAAACAGATGGACGATGATGCAAAAGTGAATGTAGTGAAGCGATTATTGTGATGTTTTGTTTATTTTGTTCTTATTAATTTAAATGTAAGTGCTGTGGTTTCTATATAAGTACCCTGCAAAAAATTGTGCGACTAATCTCTAAAGAGAGTATTCCGAGATTACTCTCAATCGGGTACAATTGGGCATTATTTAGTCGCAACTAATCTCATCCGGGTACTATTGGGGATCAATTAGTCTCGACTCATCCCTTACGGGTATAATTGGAGATCAATTAGTCCCAACTCATCTCTAACGGGTATTATTAACGATTTAATGATATCTACGCACTTAGTAAATGAAATTTCATGTGCGGCGATGGCACATAGAGAGAGTATTCGCTTAACAAAACTGAGAACCCCGGTTCGAATCGCAGCTGGCGCAAATTTTTATTTTTATTTTTTAAAAGTGACTAGTCGCATTTTATACCCGTTCAGGTATAAAGTTGAACAATTAGTCTCTTCATAGGACATGCTCGAACAAAAGCGAACAGTTCATTCCATATAAAGAGATCAAAAGTGGTATTAGCCGCATGTTCCTTTGCGATTGCTCCCGGAGTCATCCCAGATTAGTCCCATTTTTTGCAGGGTATATATGTACTTTCCCTGCAAAAAATGGGCAATCGCAAAAGGAGCATGCGACTAATACCACTTTTGATCTCTTTATATGGAATGAACTGATCGCTTTTGTTCGGGCATGTCCTATGAAGAGTCTAATTGTTCACATTTATACCCGAATGGGTATAAAAAGCGACTAGTCACTTTTAAAAAATAAAAATAAAAATTTTCGCCAGCTGAGATTCGAACCGGGGTGCTCAGTTTTGTTAGGCGAACACTCTCTCTGTTTGCCAACGCCGCACATGAAATTTCATTGACTAAGTGCGTACAAATCATTAAATCCTTAATAGTACCCGTTAGAGATGAGTTGGGACTAATTGATCTACAATTATACCCATAAGGGATGAGTCGAGACTAATTGACCTCCATTACAGGTGTATGAGACTAGTTGGGACTAATTAATGCCCAATTGTACCCGATTGAGAGTAATCTCGGAATACTCTCTTTAGAGATTAGTCGCACAATTTTTTGCAGGGTTGTTAACTATGTTATATGTATGTATGTATGTACGCATATTATTAATTGAGATTTGAAGCCTAATTGTTTGTGTTTTTATGTTTTGTTCCGAATAAACAGACTACCTGATGAAGGCGGAAAAGACGCCGAAACGCGTCGGAGGAAAAAAAGAAAACTTTGTTTTGCTTTTTATTCAACCGGCCGTAAAGCTCCATAAATCAACTTATATAAATATATAAGAAATTTTAAATTTTGGCCCTAGAAAAACAAAAACGAAATTGGGTGAAATTTATTGTCGTCTTACAATACAGCGTAATTCAGTCTCCTTTTCTCTGTTACATATCGCTAAAACCGGACTGTCAGTTAATCGAGCCTTTAATTCGTTAAACGCGTTAAGTCACTTGTGTTCATAATCAAAAGCGGGATGTCTCTTCAATAAATTCTGTAGAGGTGTAGATATTTGGGAATACTATGGTACGAAACGGCGAAAATAGGAGAACAATTCGATGCAGGACTGCAATTGTTTTTGGTTAGATGGTATCGGAAAATTACGAATGCTCGTGATATGAGAGCCATTTGGCCGAATTCCTAATTGGCTCACCTCGTATCCCAATTGGTCTATTTCACTATACCCAAATTTTGATTTTTTCCCAAGTTCAGTTCTAATCCACGTCTTGATAATCGCTCTAGTACAGTTTTTAATAGAACTTTGTGTTCCTTAAACTCACGTGAGATAACTAAAATATCGTCCATATATATCATACTATTTTTTTATTCAATGATATTCCGGAATATACTGTAAATAAAGCGCTGAAATACGGCAGGGGCATTTTTTAGTCCGAACGGCATTTTTAAGTATTCATATTGACCACTAGGTGTCACAAAAGATGTGTACGGAACTGATTCTGGGGACATTCGAACCTGGTGGAATCCACCTTTTAGATCCTATATATAAATATTGTTTTATTCCCAAGAAATTCGACTTTCTCTGACTTATCTATATTGTTAAGCTCTGGTATTTACTTCTCAGCATAATCATTGTCTACTTTAACTGATCTTATATTAAACGATTATAGAAAAGCACGTCCCAAAATAAGCGGTAAAGATATACAATTATCGTCGACTACTTTTAATTCAGTGACACGTTTTTAATTCAGAAATGTTATCTTACATTTAATGGTTTTAATAATTTTCAAAACAACACCGCCAACTCCTCTATACTTAGGGGTGAAATCCTTGCAAATTTTTCCGGCCTGCTTTTTTGGGTCGACCGACCTCCTGATGAGACTAACCGGACTACCGGTATCAAAAAGTGAAAAGATTAAGTAAGAAACTACTCCCTTAAATAACTTAAACTCTATGCTTACATAGTAGTAGGCTCCGACCACGTCAGCGTCTTCATCGGATTCGGCACCGTCAGCAATATCTTCTTTCCGCTTTAATACCTTCTTAGGGTTTGGACACGATCTATGGTCATGTCCCGTTTTCCCACACCTGAAGCACGAGCCGTCCGGTCGCAGTGGAAATGGACAGTTGGATTTAATATGGCCCAACTGCGAGCAGTTGTAGCACAACTTTTGCTCAGTCATCGGCTTCACCACTGCCGGAGTCGTCTTTTGATTGCCGACTGCGGCACCACCAACGGCAAAGTACTTATTTTGGTACCTGTTGATTATAGCCTTTAGTTCGTCGACGCTCCTAGCCGATAACAACAGGTGCGAATTCGGAACGGTATTGCCGATTCCCTCTATAACGAAAGCCACCACCTCCTGCTCGGCAATATCTGCCCTCTTCGCAAAAGCTTGCATTGATAGTACATAACAATGGACGGACTCGTCTTTCCTCTTCCATCGCCGCTGTGACATTGTATATATTTCTTGTCTTGTTACAGAAAAATCATATTCGTTGATAAAAGTCCTCTTAAGGGAATTATAATTTAGGACCGTTGTCGTTGATAGGAATTCCCTTGCCGTTCCATTAAGGGATCTTCGGAGAGCGAGAAGCTTAAAAGTTTCGTCTGCTTGCGTTGACTCTATTATCTCCTCAAAATCCCTTATAAAGTGTTGGACAGGGTATCCTACGTCGTCACCACTGAACTTCGGGAACGGGTGTTCGATATCTCCAAAATCGCGCTTGCGTTGGCACTTTGTTGTAGAGCGGCTCTCCAGTTCCTCAATCTTCCCCCAGTTGCAGCATCCCGAGCCTTTTTTTAAGGCGAGCACCTCATCGTCTAACTTGTTTGCGCCAGTGGCGGCAAATAGAGGGTCCGTAGCGGCATAGATGGTGGCGGCAGCGGCATTGGAGGTGACGGCAGCGGCATTGGTGGTGGCGATAGTGACATTGGTGGAGACAACAGCAGTATCAGCACAAACAGCAGTGTAGGACGAGACATTAACGGCGTTTGTATTTACAGTCGGGATTTTCGGAATATCGCCAGTGTCCGAACCAACGTCTGGACCGGCATTTATATCAGCACCACTTCTCACAGCATTCTTGTAGGCGGCAGCAGCATTATCGGCAGCAAGATCATCAATATTGGCAATTTCCGTAATATAGCCCACCACGTTTCTTACCAAGTTACGGAGTTGGCCCGTTGTGGCATAGGGTGGGAAATCCACGTGCGCATCAGTTAAGACATTTATTAATTCATGCCTTGGATTAGCCATTTTAATCAAAATATAATGGATACTTCGTTTATATAAGGGTAGACCCCACACCTGAAGATTTAAACTTGAATTTTATCTCGAGGATTTCGATGAAAGCGAAGGATATATATTTTATAAATTATAAAACACGACAGTCTTCGTTTTGGCTCAACCGGAAATTAACTTGCCGGCCATCATTTTTTATTTTACAGAGTTGCATATTACATATATTTTAATATTATAGGCTGTTAATGCTTACGCGACAAATGAATATATACACAAACAAATATTCGGTTATGGTTAAAACAATTAAAGTTTTTGTATTGAATTTTTGGTTTAAAATTTGTTTTTTCCTTTTCAGTAGGGTTTTTTTCACATTATCTTCTGCGTGAGCATTGATCGTAATAGATACGGATCTGAATACGCGACTGGAACACGTCTGTTTGTCAAAAGCATACTATTTCGAACTCGCGTAAATGTACATTTGCTAAATGCGAAAGCATGAACGCTCTTCGAAAACATTTGTTCGAAAGTGCTAAATGTTGCATTTAAAATACAGTAAAAACGCTGCATTATACTACGTTTACACTACATACATATATTATTTATAATTATAACAATAAGAAATAAGATGCTGCCACTCGAAGTGATCGCGGCGTTCTTTGCATAAACGCCCACGTTTTCTTGAAAGGAAAAATTGAAATAATAACGCTTTCAATGGAAGAAATACTGGGAAGACATACGGCATAGAACATAAAATTGATAATCGAAAGAGTAATGAGTTCTTATGAAATTAAGAAGGAACAAATTTATGCTGTAGCAAGCGATAACGGACGCAATATGATTAAAGCGGTTGAGCTTCTGTCACTGTGTCACCAACAATAACAATAAGGTAATTTGGGGCCTCTCCTGCGAGAGGCCCAGAGCGTGTGTAGTGCTGAAAAATAATATTGTTGTTGTTGTTGTGTTAGCAGCACGTAGTCCCCGAGTCGGTTGGTTGTTTATTCATCTTCGTTGTTGTTTTTGTTGTAGCAGCATACAAATTCCCCAAAGACTTTTTGGGGAGTCTTGCTGGAGTGACAGTCCTTGGCCAGATATAAATCTGGGTCGTTCCGGTTACGTAGACCCGACTGTCGTGGGAACGATTCATCTTTGTCTTTCCCATCTGCATCCTCCAACCTTAGGCCCAGGAAGCGAGCAGTCTCAATAGGTTGAGTCCACAGTGCTTCGGGTGTCAGATGGGTGGGATATGTAGGGCATGCGAACAGGTGTGCGGTGTTGTGTGGACCAGTTCCGCATTCTGGGCAGGTGTCAGCGATCTCTGGGTCTAATCTGGTTCTGTAAGAGTCTAAGCGGCTGCACCAGCCAGATCTGAGTTGCGCCAGTGTGGTTCTTGTTTCGCGCGGTAGTTGGAATTCGCTCAAATCGATGGGAGTCGGCCGGCCACCGAGGACTATGCTTTCGTGGCGTCCTCGTGTTATGGAGATGACTGCTTCCCGATGAAGGTTATTGATTCCCTCAACGTATGCCTCGCGGCTCAGTGGCAAGTGAAGATGTTGGTCGATGTCTGCTTCTAGGTGACTTACGCGTCTTGGTGGTGCAGTTCTCTGTGTCAGGCTGTAGTTAGGGTGAGTTGTTCTGCGACAGCCTAGCAGGAACTGTTTTGACAGCAACATAATGTGATCCCTTACCCGGAGCATTGTAGTCTCGTCGTGTAAGTGTTGTTCGGAGGACATAAGGAGGCACCCTGTTGCGGTTCGGAGAGCGGCGTTTTGGCAAATCTGAAGGTTTTTCCACTGCGTGTCACTCGTGCCTGCTGTCGACACTGGGGCGGCATAGTTTGCAACGGACCGTCCGATCGCTTTGTATGTCACGAGCAGAGTTTCCTTATCTTTTCCCCAAGTGCTGCCGGCGAGCGACTTGAGGACTTTATTTATGCTTCGCAGTTTGTTGCAAACTGTGGTGGTGTGCTGCGAAGGACATGAGACTATCGAACGTGACGCCTAGTATCTTTGGGTGGTTGGCTGTCAGAATCTTGACTCCGCCAACGAACACGTTCAGTTCGAGCCTCACCTCTTTTGTCCACGTTGTGAAGAGTGTACATAGCTGTTGACTCGGCGGCCGAGATTTGTAAGCCNGCTTCGGGTGTCAGATGGGTGGGATATGTAGGGCATGCGAACAGGTGTGCGGTGTTGTGTGGACCAGTTCCGCATTCTGGGCAGGTGTCAGCGATCTCTGGGTCTAATCTGGTTCTGTAAGAGTCTAAGCGGCTGCACCAGCCAGATCTGAGTTGCGCCAGTGTGGTTCTTGTTTCGCGCGGTAGTTGGAATTCGCTCAAATCGATGGGAGTCGGCCGGCCACCGAGGACTATGCTTTCGTGGCGTCCTCGTGTTATGGAGATGACTGCTTCCCGATGAAGGTTATTGATTCCCTCAACGTATGCCTCGCGGCTCAGTGGCAAGTGAAGATGTTGGTCGATGTCTGCTTCTAGGTGACTTACGCGTCTTGGTGGTGCAGTTCTCTGTGTCAGGCTGTAGTTAGGGTGAGTTGTTCTGCGACAGCCTAGCAGGAACTGTTTTGACAGCAACATAATGTGATCCCTTACCCGGAGCATTGTAGTCTCGTCGTGTAAGTGTTGTTCGGAGGACATAAGGAGGCACCCTGTTGCGGTTCGGAGAGCGGCGTTTTGGCAAATCTGAAGGTTTTTCCACTGCGTGTCACTCGTGCCTGCTGTCGACACTGGGGCGGCATAGTTTGCAACGGACCGTCCGATCGCTTTGTATGTCACGAGCAGAGTTTCCTTATCTTTTCCCCAAGTGCTGCCGGCGAGCGACTTGAGGACTTTATTTATGCTTCGCAGTTTGTTGCAAACTGTGGTGGTGTGCTGCGAAGGACATGAGACTATCGAACGTGACGCCTAGTATCTTTGGGTGGTTGGCTGTCAGAATCTTGACTCCGCCAACGAACACGTTCAGTTCGAGCCTCACCTCTTTTGTCCACGTTGTGAAGAGTGTACATAGCTGTTGACTCGGCGGCCGAGATTTGTAAGCCGCGCGCTGTGAAAAATCCGGATACGTCCTCGAGGTAGCGGTTGAGCAGTGCGCACATGCCGTCGATGTTGTTGCCCGTTGCCATGATGGAACAGTCATCTGGGTATGACACTAAGGAGACTCCCTGTGGTGGAGGGGGGTTTCGCTAGATATAGGTTAAACAGGATCGGTGATAGTACCCCACCTTGTGGTACACCCTGTTTAATCCTACGTGGCTTTGATGTTGTTTTTCTGAATACTACAGATGATGATGAATGTTTTGTGTGCGGCGGTAGGGAGGACGATATGATGTCCTCTATAAGTGTTGCATGGTTGACGGTATCGAAGGCCTTTGATAGCTCTAGTGCCACTAGGATGGTGCGGGCGCAGGGGCGCTTTTGGTTCAAAGCATCAGTTATTTGCGCTGGGATGGTGTTTAGTGCAGTGGTGGTGCTGTGTAGCTTCTTGAATCCATGCTGATGTGAGGTAGGATGCAGGTGCTGAGTCAGTTGCGGGAGGAGTAGCGCTTCCAGGGTTTTGGCCACCGGAGAGAGAAGTGTGACCGGTCTGTAGGATTCACCTAACTCTGCGTTCTTCCCAGGTTTTTGCAGGGGGATTACTCGCCCGTTTTTCCATATCTCTGGGATGGTGTGTGTGGCTAGTGAGGCGTATAAAAGTTTGGTGAGGTATTCGACTCCCGGGGCATCCAATTGCTTTAGCATCAGCATGGAGATGCCATCTGTGCCGGCTGATTTCGATGCCTTGGCCTTGCGGATCGCGCTTTGTACTTCGTTGGGTGTGAATGTTGGTGGTGTGTCAGTTGCTCAGATGTTGTGTGCTTTGCGGAGTATGCTGCGTTGGGTTATGCTCCTCGCAGGGTGGGCAATAAATTGTCTGCAAAATTCATGCGCGCACTTCTTGGAGTCGTTGTGAATTTCGTTGCCAAATTTGATGGCCTTGTGGTCATTATACTTCGTCGGGTTCGAGAGGGATTTTACTGTGGACCACAGCTTGCTTACGCCCTCTTGAAGGTTGCATGATTTGAGGTGCTTCCACAATTTGTTCCGCTTGTGGTTGCTTACGAGGCGCTTGATCTCAACGTTGAGATCCTTGATGCTAGGATCTTCGGATTGGCTCGCCTGGTTCGGTCTCGGACGTTAGCGAGTCTAGCCGCTTCGGTCGGAAAGCCTGGTCGGATCTCCGGTATACATCCGGCTGTGATGAAGCGGGCAGCTGCCGCGTTTAGGACCGTGCAGAATTTGCGCTCGGCTATGCGAGCATCAGGTGGAGTTGGTTCACGTAGTCTCTGAAACCGTCCCAGTTGGCCTTTTTGATGTTTACATATGTCGCTCGGAGGCTATAAAGTCGCTGGAGCGGTCGATAGATAGTATGACGGGAAGGTGGTCAGAGGACAAAGAGATCATGGCTCGCCATGTGGTGCAGTTGATTAAGTTTGCACTTGCGATAGATAAGTCAGGCGAGCTGCTGCAAGTGTCTGTGAGTCTCGTTGGGGCATCGTCATTCAGGCAGCAGAAGGTGGAGTCATCTATTTGCTCTGATAGCGATATACCCCGTTGGCCGTTGCCAAGGTTGGAGTGCCAGAGCTCGTGATGCGCATTGAAGTCGCCAATAACTAGCGTGTTATCTGCGATGAGTAGCGGGCTGATATCTGGGCGGTATCCTGGCCCACAGCTGGTGATGGGTGGAATGTAGACGTTGATGATTTTCGGTTCTGTGTGGCCTGAAGTAACGGCTATACTCTGGCATTCGATGAAGAGGTCGGCGCTGTCGATTGCAGCCGTGACGCTTCTCTATTGTACTGAGTGGTTGATGATAAAAGCGATGCCTCCTCCTCTGTCGCATAGGCGGTCTTTCCGGATTACGTTATATCCGTCGCAGGTCAGAAGGTGTGTACTGCTGCGGATCCTTGTTTCTTGTACTGCCGCGATTTTGATGTTATGCCTCGACATGAAGTCAGTCAGGAATTTTGCCTTGGAGGCCGCTGATGTTGATGTGCATAATGGCAATGGAGCTGGGTTGGTTTGTTCGGGCCGCTGGTGTAAGTGCAGACTGGTTTTGCTGTGAAGGTGGTATTGTTTGGAGGGGAGGTAGGGCGGGGTATGTGGTGTGGCCGCCTGGGTCGTGTTTGGTGGCTGGGAGCCGCACGGGGCCGACGTAGGCGCTGGAGTGGTCGCGTAGCCTTTTCAGCCTCGAACAGCTGCGGAAGTGACACCAGCCCTCGCACCTGTTGCATTGGACAGATGCTGCGTTGGCGCGGATCTGGGTTGCACATACCGTGCATGTCCAGATCCGAGTTTGGGGTTGTTGGTTTTGTCTGTGTAGCTTTCAGGTTGCTGGTGCGGCTGTTGTATAGTTGCTCGCACTGACGTCCGAGGTTGCAAATACGTAGGGTTAGCTTCCTTAATGGGCGAGGGTGTTGGTGGTTGCTGATTATTGTTGGGTACAGTGCAGCAGGGAGCCAGATAGTTGGGTAAGCGATCCCGTGCTCTGTTTAGGCCTGAACAATTGCGGAAGTGGCACCATCCTTCGCAGCCACTGCATTGAACGGGCGTCGCATTGCCATGTATGCGGTTGTTGCATACACAACACAGCCAGACTTGCCTGTTGGTGGTGCTAGGTTGTTGCCGCTCTTGGGTTGCGGGATGTGCATGTGGACGTGGTTGCGTACGTTGCCCTCTGGTCTGCGTTTGCATTGCTGTGTAATTTTGCATTTGGTGTGATATGTTGAGGTTATGTGTTTGCATTTGCATTGCTGAGTAATGTTGCATTTGGTGTGATACGTTGAGATTATGTTTGTTTTGTTGCCCGGATGCATATTGCTGTCGGGTGTTGTTTGGTTCGCCTGGCTGTTGGTTGCGCATTGCGGTGGTTGCAGGCTGGCAGCAGGCTGCGATGACGTTTGCTTGCCATTCTCTGTGGCTGTTGAGGCCTGAGCACTGTCTGAGATGGCACCATCGATTGCAATTTGCGCAGCGCACCGATATTGAGCGGTGGTGAATTCTGAGTTCGCAGACACTGCACGTGTAAGGCCCAGGGTTTTTTTTGATTCCGGCGCGGGCGAGGAGAATTCGGAGCAGAGTTGCCGGAAAGTGCTGCTCCGATGATGAAAAAATTTTGTATTCGGGGGTGTGTGTGCTGGTGTGATGGTCCTTGGCCGGAGTATCCGGGTCGATCTGGTGAACGTAGAACCGACAGAGTTTCTTACACAGGATCTGGTAGCGGTCCAGACTACCTTGAAAGTTGATGGCAGGGAGATGGAGATGGTCTTGGCTGCAGCCTACTTTCCGGGGGACAACGCCAACGTGCAGCCCCTTGAGGTACAGCAGCTTCTAGAATTCTGCCGCAGGAGACGGCTTCCTGTCATTCTAGGCTGCGATGCGAACGCCCACAATATGGAGTGGGGCAGCTTGGACACTAACCGCAGGGGTGAGTGCCTTTTAGAATATATTATAAGTGAAGACCTTAGCATTCACAATGTCGGTAATAAACCAACGTTCTTTACTAGGGTCAGAGAGGAAGCTCTTGACATCACTATCAGCAACAGACTGGCCAGTCCTCAGATCGTCCAGTGGAAAGTCTCATCTGAGCCTTCGATGTCGGATCACAGGATTGTCCGGTTTGCACTGGGAGCTGCTTGTCAGACAGGTTACTCTAAGAGAAACCCCAGGAAAACCAACTGGGCCAAATATGAAGAGGTACTTAGACTGAACCTACCAAGAATAGAGGTACAGGATAGAAAGGTAGATTGTATGGCGTTAGAGGACAGGGTTAATAGGCTGAACGGCACAATCTTAGATGCCTTTACATCCAGCTGTCCCGTGTCAAAGCTTAAGGGGAAGGCTCAGCCTACCTGGTGGTCACGGGAACTCTCGGTTCTTAGGAAAGAAGCGCGCAGACTGTGCAACAGGGCAAAGCGCACCGGGAACTGGGAGGAATACTCAGTCAGTCTGACAAAGTACAATAAGGAGGTTAGAAAGGCCAAGCGTAGCAGCTTCAGGACCTTCTGTGAAAACATCGCATCCACTCCTGCAGCTTCTAGGCTTCATAAAGCTTTGGCAAGGGACAACACAGGCACCAGATTGGCTATAAGGCTACCTAATGGGACTTTTTCAGGTACAGAACAGGAAAGGGCACTCGCCCTGCCGTCGGCCCACTTTCCGGACGCCATTCCCTTCGCTGGATAAGCATGTTCCGTGCGTACAGGCCATCCCCACCGGACTGGAAGCTGGCTGAAAGCCTTATAAACCGGCAAACAGTGCGGTGGGCTTTGGACTCCTTCGAACGGTACAAGGCCCCTGGGGTGGATGGTATATGTCCAATGTTGCTGAAGCAGGGCGGAGAGCTCTTACTTTCACATCTTGTGGATGTTATGAGGGACAATCTAGCGCTGGCCCACATTCCCAACGTGTGGCAAAGGGCCAGGGTCATCTTTACCCCGAAGGTAGGTAAGAGAGATTACTCTCTTGCCAAGTCATTCAGGCCGATAAGTCTTACATCCTTTATGTTAAAGGCAATGGAGAAAATTATTGACCATGAGATCAGGTTTAACACTCTGAAACAAACCCCTCTGCATTCCAACCAGCACGCGTACAGGGTGGGTAGATCCACGGACACTGCGCTGTGTGCCTTAACGGAGGAAATACAAGGGGCCTTTGAGTGTGATGAGGTGGTGCTCTGTGTCTTCCTCGATATCAAGCGGGCCTTTGATAATGCCTGGAGTTGACAGAGCTCTTGAGAAACATAACGTTCAGCCAACCATCCGGCGTTGGATAGCAAGGTTACTGCAGACCAGGATCGCCGAAAGTGAAGTCGGTGACAGCGTTGTTCAAATAAAAACAACAAAAGGGTGTCCGCAAGGGGGAGTATTATCTCCTCTACTGTGGAGCTTAGTTGTGGACGAACTCCTACAGCTACTCACTAACGAGGGTATGCGGACGACATAGTGATTATCGCTAGAGGGAAGTTCGCTAGTACTCTCTGTGACATCGTCCAAAGAGGTCTTAACCTTGCAAAACGTATCTGGGGCTTACCCTGGACTCCAAGCTTCTGTGGAAGGCCCATGTTGATGCGGTCACCTCCTCACATCTGGCGGGCAAATCCTGGGGGTGCACTCCGAGGATCCTCAGATGGACACCACCATGATAGTGAGACCTATAGTGACTTGCGGTGCGGTGGCTTGGTATTTCAGGACTACTTTAGTAACGGTGAGGCAAACACTCTCTAAGCTTCAACGTCTGGCATATGTTTGCATTACGGGAGCAATGCGCACATGCCCGACGGCAGCGCTGGAGGTAATGCTGGAACTCGAGCCACTGCACCTCTTAGTTGAACAGGTCGCAAAGCGAACCCTCCTTAACTTTGCTAGGGAGGGCTTCGGCAAAGGCAAGGTATTCTCATCTATGAACAGGGACAAGCTAGGTACCCAGCTCCCCCTGGGTCTTTTCCCCAGGGACGATATCAACAGACAGGTTGTCTTCAAAAGGAATTTCAGGACTAACACTTACAGCAAGGTGACCTGGTGTGCCTCGTATCATGGAAAGGCACATACAGGCTAGCACAATACAGTGGTACACTGACGGCTCCAAAACACCTGCGGGGATTGGATCAGGCGTGTACGGCCCCAGGCTGAAGCCCCTGGGAACCTTCCCAAGCATGTTTCAAGCGGAGCTCTATGCCATCAGTATGTGCGCAGAGATCAACATGAGTAGGAACTATAGGAATGAAAGGATACTTATACTAAGTGATAGTCAGTCGGCACTTATGGCTCTCTCATCATTCGACAGGCTTAATGCTCTGGCGGAGGTTAATGATATACAACTAATGTGGGTATCTGGGCACATGGGGGTTGCAGGAAATGAGGAGGCTGATCACCTGGTCAGATTATCCGCTTTCTCGGCCCCGATAGGACCTGAGCCCTTTCTGGCAGTGTGACCCAGTACTATAAAGGATATGCTCAGAGGGACAATTGCAAACTGAGGGAACTCCATTGGCGTGACACCATGGGTCAACGTCAGGCGAAAAGCTTATTAGGAGGCTACAATCTGACAAGATACAGGCTACTCATGAATTTTCCAAAGGACAAACTGAGGGTTATTACAGGATTTTTGACTGACCACTGTAGGCTAAGAGGGCACATGTACAAACTAGGTATCTGGTCCAGCGACCTGTGTCGCTTCTGCGATGCCGCCAGGGAACTCCCCTGCACCTTCTTGTAGTGTGAGGCCGTTGCGCGCAGGAGGTATAGGAGCATAGGGCACGTCTGGCCAAGAGAGGAGCACATACACTCACTTTCCCCGGGGTCTATTATGAAGTTTTTAGACCCACCGGTCGCAGTGTCTTACCCAACCAACTATCTATCTATCTATCTTCTGTCAGAGACAGTCGGTGACGACGATGGTGATGAAAGCGAAATTAACATTTTAGAGGGGTTTTTCGGTGATGATTTAATACCAATAATTGGTGATCATATTATATCTATAAAATGTCCAGCCCACACGCTCCAACTCGCTGTCAAAGCCTTTTCGGAGGATTACTGTCCGGGATAATAAGCAAAGCCCGTAGCGTTGTAAAGCTTTTAAGAACTCCACTTTTGCGGTGTGCACATATTTAACTAACATACGCGCGGCAACTAATTTTTATACCCGAGCGCACTTGTGCACAAGGGTATATTAATTTTGTTCACATAACGGTTGTTTGTAACAGCCAAAACGAATCCAGATAGATATAGGCACATGTATACATAAATGCTCAGAATGAATAGAGAAATCGATTAAGCCATGTCTGTCTGTCCGTCTGTCCGTCCGTCCGTGTACACGATAACTCGAGCATCTCAACGACATTTGGTACGTAGGTTTCCGTTAATCCAAGGTAGGTTGGTATTGGAAATGGGCGAAATCGGACTGTAACCACGCCCACTTCCCATATAACGGTAATTTCCAGAAATACGAAAACTGCGATATTTTAGTAACTACTGAAGATAATCGAATCCAGATAGATATAGACAAATGTATACATAAATGCTCAGAATGAATAGAGAAATCGATTAAGCCATGTCTGTCTGTCCGTCCGTCTGTCCGTCTGTCCGTCCGTCCGTGTACACGATAACTCGAGCAAAAATTGAGATATCTCAACGACATTTGGTACGTAGGTTTCCGTTAATCCAAGGTAGGTTGGTATTGAAATGGGCGAAATCGGACTGTAACCACGCCCACATCCCATATAACGGTAATTTAGAGAAATACGAAATCTTCGATAAATCAGTAAATATTAAAGCTAATTTATTCAAAATTGATGCTTGCAACAATTCTTTACCAAGAAATACGTTTATGGTAAAATTTTGGAAAATGGGCGTGGCACTGGTATCGGCAACCGTTCTACCATTTGTACCAAGCTCGGTATTTTTATTGTGCCTGCCACATAAAAGCAAAACGTTGAAAATGATTGAAATCGGACTAAAATTACGGCCGCTTTTCATATAACGGTAAATTTCAGAAATGCTTGAAACTGCAATATTTCGAAATTTAAGGACGCTAATTTACCCAACTCTGATACACCCCGGCTGGCTTACCATCTACCGGAAGGTTTCGGACAGGTGAAAAAACATATATTTAATACTTGCGCCGGGTATTTAATGTTCGGCTCCACCCGAACTTAGACTTTCTTACTTGTTTGAACTGGTTTTAATTATAATTTTCAGCCTTAAGATAAAGAGTTGATGTTCCAACTAGTTGGAGTTCTACTTACAACATGATGAACAGACTTTGTCAGCTGAAAAATTTTTGCACCGAACATTTAGCAGCTTCGGAGCAATTGAGCGTTGACGAGTGGGAATTGGTAGAGGGCATCGTAGGAGTTTTAGCACTACCTTATACCTTAACATTAAAGCGCCAAGAGAGTTAATTGCTTTTGGGCGACTTCTATAAAAGTTGACTGGAAATGACGCTTCATTCAGTTGAAAAACAAAGAAGGGTAATCAGCGAAAACTTTTTGAATTGCGTTGAAATTAGGCAAAGTTCATTACTTGAAAACGCGACTATAAATGCAGCCCTACTTTTGGACCTCGGCTAAAACTCGCCTCAAAGGGCTTGCTCGTCGCATTGAGGCTTTAAAAGAGGTTACTTTTTTACTACTTTTATTACCTGACCCGTTTTTAGTTATTTTTTATAATTCCTTCTGAATTTAGAATCGCGGCTCATCCACTCAAGATGTTCAACACAGTGAAGACATGGCGTTCTTGGTTGATGAATCTTTCATGCAAAGTTGATCATCTCTCTTAAGAAGCTGTATAAGGGAGCTTGAGTTAGCGAACTTTTCATCCGATGAGGATTCTCCAGAGATGCAAAATGAAATTACAAAGGATTTTTGTGAAATTTATTCCTATAAAGAAAAGCGAGTAGAGTAGAAGTTGATATGGATATAGTAGAATACTGGAACGGTAAGAAATATTGCTTCCCTTGGCTTCGAAAACTTGCATTTGCCATTCATTCGGTGCCTGCCACACAAGTTAAGTGTTTAGCGAGCGTTTTCAGCCTTGAAGCTGATTTTAACGGATTTGCGTTATAATCGGTCATTGGGTGGGCTTTAGTAGTCAGCCGCACCTTGTGTTTTAAGAAAACCAGGTGGAATTAACAAATGAAACTTGGTCAGGATGTTAAGGGAGGTATCCACTAAAACATGTATAACTAAAAAATATAAATAATATCATTGTTTATAAGTTATTTTTTGTTAAAATTTCTTAAGTCGTTCCACTTGGTTTCCTTAACAAAAAAGCATTTGTGCATACTTTTATATATATAAATGCACATAACACTGTACTTAATACTTTACACACTTTTCTTTTATTTTATCTTGTATATAAATCACTTTAATTAAACTTTTATCGACTTGTAAATTACATTGAATTTCACGCATATTTACAATAACACATGGTTGCAAACTGACACATAACATGTGTTGCCATATTGTACAAAACAATACATACAAAGAAGGCAATGATTAAAAAGGAATACAGGGGAAATCAATACAAAAGAAAATGTTCAGCTCCTTTTTTCAGCCCCTTTTTTTTGATAACACAGAAAGGAGAATTCTACGTAGTGAGGGTTATAATCCCTAAGCGAGGCCGAAGGCCGCCTACGCAGAAAGGTGCTCAGCCCATGATCTGAACAAAATAATCTTATCGTATTTTCCTTTTAATCGTATTTTCTTTTGGTCTTACTTTCCACGCCTGGTTTTAGATGTGGCAACACAGTCCTGCTGTCATTTGCAAATATTCTGCATGTACTCTCATAATAAATAAACAACAATGAATTTTTCATAAAAAAGCTGTAATGTACTGAAAGTATTTATTTGTGTGGTCGGGCACACTCTAACTGCACATATATTGGGTGTAAAT